TTAGTATGGCTGATAAACAGCACACTGTCATGTGCAAGCTAATCAGAATCAAACCATTTTATGGTTACTATTAAGACCACAGAATATGGTATTTTTTTAAATCATTATTTTTATTTTAATAGAACACTTCCCGACCTCTTCCCACTCCTCACTTTCTCTCTGTTTTGCCCCACACACCCCTGCTCCCCTTCATTACTGCAAAATGAATTCCAGCATTAGTTTAGATACACGCTTGCTTTGTTAACTCACCACTGGAAGAGGACAGTACTCAGACCCCTATGATGGAAAGTAAAGGGAAAGGAGAAGACATGACGAACAATGAAATGACAGGTAATCTCAGTTTTGCATAATTTAGAGATTATAATTGTTATTTGGATAGCCTTGTTATTCATGTCTCCAGGCAGTAAACCAAGTCTCAGCCTAAGACCATAACTTGAAAAAAAAGCAGAATACTAGAGGTTAAATTTCAACTGAGTTTTCTTCCATTGATACTAAAAGAGGAATGTTAGGGTCTACCCCAAGACTAACGCATGCAACCATAGTTGATCTACGGCCACAAAAAGCAGCAAAAAGTACTAGACTTGTTAGCCAAACCACTGTGAAACACCTCTTTTATCCTTCCCATGTAATGAGGCCTCACTTTCAGGTTACTAAAAAAAAAAAAGGCTTGACAAAAAGCAGTGTTTAAATTACTTAGCAAGATCTCCTTAAGTATCAGTACAAGGCTAGATGTGATAAAGACTACATTGGCTTTGCTGGGTAAGTTTGACACGCTTGCCAAAAAAAAAAACCACAAACAAAAAACAACCAAGAAAACTGGAAGGAGCAGAGAGGTACACCGAGATAACATTCAGTGGCGATGAACCTAAGAATATCTAAAGCACTGAAAAATCAATTTCTTGACTTAGGAACTAAATTCAAATTAGGAAATCTGTCTGATAGATATTTGAAAACCATGGAAGGAAAATAAAGATGCAGAGGGAGGTTAATTGGTTTGTAAAGTATTAAGAGTAGCTCGATACAAAATGCCCTGGCAGGAAAACAAACCTGCAGAAGAGTCATACAGAGAAAGCGCTTGGAGTTTGCACCAGGGAAAGGGATGCAGAAACAAACCTGAATTTAATTTTTGAGGTTCAGGTGCTTTATTTCATCCTAATAGTAATCATAGTATTGTTCTGAAATCATTCATGGCAACAAAGCAAATCTGAAATACAGCTTCACAAAACCTACGTTTAGATCTTCGCTAACCAAAACACTCCACTTCCCAAATACCACTTCACCTTTTCCTCAGAGAAAAATTCTTTTCCACTGTGCCTAACAGGAAAGCAGCAACAAGCCCCAGACCCCAGAAGTCGCTGTTTATCTTTTGCATCTCCAAGGTTCACTTCATGTCTTAATGCGCTTGGTGTTGCTCTCACTATTAATCATGTACTGCAGACCAAGAGTAAGCGCTTTTCCAGAAATGACCTTAACCAAAATTCATAGTTCTTTAAGAACCAATAAACCCACTGAACCAGAAAGCTCACCCCTTCTGCAGTGGGCTACAAGCAGTCAAGCTGCTCTACTCCCTTTAGCAAGATTCACTACCACCTTTTATTTAAAGCACTGAGTGGAAACTGTTTATATAGTTTAACAACATACCTGTGTTTTGAGCCAGGAAAGGAAGGAAAGGGCCAGAAGACACCAGAACGTGTATTTTCCTGTGCTATAGCCAAAGGAGCAAAGCCTCCTGGACAGTCCTACTGAATTCTTTTTTCTAATCCTGTAAGACCTAGGGGAGCATCCCTTAGCACTTACCAAATGTTCCTACAGAAATCAAGATCTTCTGCATCACATTTTTCTGGAGTTACCCTCATCAAGAGGAAAAAAAATCCCTATGAAGAATGGGTACATGTGTGTCTCACGACATATATTAGATGAGTTCTTACTCTTCCTCACAGGGAAAAGTTATTCTAAGCTGAATATGAAATCTGAATAGTCAGATCTATGACACAGGGCATGAAAGACGCTGCAATTACTAAAATACTTGCGACACCTCTGCATCCTTCATTGTACAGAAAAGGGAAGGTGAAAATTGGAACTTATGCTGAAACAGAGCCTTAAAGAACATATTATGCCTGGTTTTAAGTGGTATCATTAAAGCAAGAATACAAAAGTATAAACTCATCTATGAAAAACCTTGTACAAGAGTACTTGAAGCTGTGCCTACAATGCCTGTTTTTAAGTCATAAAAAGTAATTTTAATTCTTCAAAGGCTTTTGGAGCCTTTTTTGACTAACAAGGCCATTAAATTCACCTGACCACACACAATGAATCCAGGAAGTAATATTTTTTCAAAGCCTAATATTAAGGGGGGCTTTCAAGACTTCTAATTAACATTATTGGAATGTGAAAGATCTACATATATTTTACATAGAGTGGAGAGGAAGAATACCATAAGAGAACTCTGTTAATTGATGATAAAGCCTCGCTGGGATTTTGTTTGTAGAAGTACCAGCATCTTTTAGTTAGAAAAGTCCAAGGTATGTAAAAATATATCCCAGTGAAGCAAAGAAGGGCTGTATTTTTTAGAAGTCCTCCACACAATGCAGAGAAAACTTGTGGAATTTATCAGAATAATACATCACTCAGGACTCAGGAGGATTTGCAAAGGAACCAGATAAATAACACAAATAACAAGCATGCCCAGAATTATAGTTTCCTGCATTTGTAAAGTAAACAGGGGCTGAAGCCAGCACCGCAGGACACAGCTTGGAGTTGCCAGAGGCAGAGGTAGGAACCAGCTCCGTGGAGCAGCAGCTGTAGAGACACAGACCCCATCAGGCTTGTTGCACCCTCCTCCAGGTAACTGGGGTTGGCTATTTGCTCAGAATACCCACCCAAATATTGAGTGTAACTTTGCATAACTCAGACTTTGACAGTAAGTGATAGCAAAAGGCAGTTCTAAGATGACTGGGAAAAAATTCATTGTTATTTCTGGTGCCAAAGCAAAACCTGACCTGGTTAGGGACAAAAAGAGAAGAAAAATATACACTAGCACTTTTCTACCCCCCAGGTGTATTTCCGTAAGTCCATTATGGGTTAAATTTCACATATATAAAATGTAAATGTGTTGCATCACTGCAACATTAACATTTCTTTTGTGCAAACAAACAAAAAAATCAGCTCTGTTGCAATGCCTGTTCGTATCTCAAACAACTTCTTTTCAATGTGCCATTTAGCTAGTTCCCAGAAAGTATAGGGATAGGTTAATCCGAGAATGATATATTCATTACCACCTTAATTAGGCTTATTGGACAAGTTGCAGAGTCTTTCGGAAAGGAAAAAATGTAGATCCTTACAGATTTAGAATTTGAGGAAATTTAAATTAGAATTGCAAACAGTTAACTGTCTACAGTGCTTACTCCCCAGACTGAAGGACTTTAAAGTTTTCTGAAAATAAGGTAGAGATACTGATTCTTCCCTCCCTGCTGCAGGGGACCAAGGGCTGGGAGAAGATTCCCTTTGTTACAGTATTGTAAAGGGTCATAAGGATAAAGGAGATTATTTTCTTCTGCTTATTTTGCTAAGATACCTGCAGAGAAAAAATGTGATTTTCTCCTTCCGGATGATGTTGTACGCATCAACTACAAATTCCAAGCCTGGTTCTCTTAAAAAAAAAAGTCACTGTAGACTGTTATCTGCTGGAAAGAAAGCATCCTTGGACAGAAAAGGGAAAGCATGCCTATGTTAGTAGGAATTTATATGTTTGAGGCTTACTTGTAATTCTTTTCACAGTATAGTGTAAAAAGCTTCAGGGAGCAGCTGGAAACTTCTACCACAACAGTGTCCGAGGTTCCCCAAAAGGTAGCGGAAACCTGATGCGAGTTAAGGGGATCAAACAACCCAGACCAGAACTCATGCCTACTTTGCGTTAAGCAATCGAGAGTCCATCTGAGAATGAGAGCAGACTGGAGAAAATTTCAGGTTTAATCTCGCCAAACCTTACTACTGTTTTCTATCAATTTCACACGTTTTACTGATTCTTTTTTTTTTTTACATTGCAACTGTGTGAAAGGTCTGGGAGCTTTTTGTTCTTTCAGGATAACATACAGGCAAGTTAACTATGCAAGTGATCGAAATCTGTAACGTTAGGATGTTCAGATGCTGGGGGAAGAGACTGTTAAAATAGCTCAACAGCAGGAAGCACAAGGTAGTGGAGCTTTGCAACTTCTTTAAGCCGCTTAGCTTCACATAAGAAGCTTATGCAACTTTCTTAACTCTGGAGTACATTCAGCAAGTGATATCAAAACAGTTTTCAAGTTAAGTTACACATGGGACAGATGCCTCTTGAGTACTGTCATTCTGCCCCCTTACCAATGAAAGACGCCAAAAAAACCTAAGCCCTCCAAAAAAACACCTGCCCACTAAAAGCTAAGTACAGTTCAGTAGAGGAGGTAAGTGCCATCCTTGTTTTACCTTGATGTTTCCCTTGCATGACATGAGACATCTGCATAGTAAGCCCAGCTTCTGAGCTTTGGCAGTATAAGCAGGAGATTGTTTCACAGTTTCTAAGTGGAACCTGACTACAAAGAAGCTGCTTTGCAGTCATCTGGAAATACTTGTAGAGATGAGTATAAATACTGCAGTTATTCTAGTCAGAAAACAGACTTACGATAAGTTGTTAGGATTTTTCATCTGAAAATAAACCAATCAACCCACAATGGATCTAGTCAAGAATATTCTTGGGACAGGATAGGGACAAGGTCAAAAGCTTAAAGTCTTACAACCAGTCTTGATTAAGTTGCATCAAAGCTGGGACTTGCATGAATAATGAACATGAAAGAGACACCCTGCTCCCCTTGGAAGTTGTTAAAGAAAGCATGGAAAAAGCTGAGGTAGAAGTCCATGATCCTTTTCTGGACCCCAGTGCCTTATGGAGAGACACCAAGTGCCACCATCACCACTTCCAGAGGAAACACAACAGTGGTGCAAACACCCGGTCAGGGTATGGCACTCACCACAGAGGATGCACAGGCGCTGGTTCTCAGAGAGGCTGGGACTCCAATCAGGGGCTCCTGAGGGCTGTGCTTTTGGAGAGGATGGCGTGTTTCTTGATGAAGATTCACTTATTTCAACTGTTTTGTAGAAGGACAGATCTGCAGAAGGACTTTCTGGTCTACAAGTGCACCTGATGAAATACTGGAACTTTCTAGTATCTAGAGTTTGGTGTGCGAACCACAGTTACGTGGCAGGGAAGAACTTACTACACAACAAAATGCCAAGGAAAACCCATGATCTGTTGTTATTCTCCAAAGGAGAAGAGGGAAGGAAACCCTACTTGTTCTTCATGTAACAGTCACAGAAGAATAGCATGGTTAGACAGAACACCTGTTTGCATTTTAAGCTTATCAAGGAAAAAAGGATGCTCAAATAGACTGAATAACAGCTTTTAGAGCATTAGAAACATAGCTCTTTACCAGAGCCATACAGATTTTTATTTTCTTTAGCAATACAACAGCAAAGATAGGAAACGTAAGATTAAAAATCCAATAGTTAAAACAATTATAGTGAGAAATTGATAAACTGTGAGATCTAGAAACAGATTAAGCTAAACATATAAAAGGAAAACTACCATATACATACAACTACTTCAGTAATTGTATTTGATTCCACAAATCGTTTTCCAGTTTTGTGTAACGCTTCATCACTTTCTCCACTATAATTTCAACAGAATTTTTAGAACAGGAAAGATGCAAGACAAGCAGCAAGAGGAATAGCGCTGTGTGAGAAGGCTGACCCTCAAAAGCAGGGGGAGAAGAAGAAAATAACTCCTGTTTACATTAATTTAGCTACTTCTGGGACAACAGCTAACTCTTACTTGTTTGTCTATTTTCTACTCTTGAGTAAGCAAATGTCCAAGAATGGGAGAAGCGTTACACATGAGCAGCTGCCGCCTTTTATCTTGTGAAGAAGAAAAAAGACACTTAAAGTGCACTTCCATTGCAGCTGGGTGATGATGGCAAGAGAGCTCATCAGGGCTGCGTACAGGGGCACTGGGCTCCACAGCTTCTGCAAGCTCCAGCACTGGTCCAGGTAAACTGTCACCCAACCCAACCCTAATGGAAGAAAAAAAGTTTTCATCACAAATTTAGCCAGCCACCTTCTACCAGTTTTAACAGGGAACCATCTGGTCAAGTAAACAGATACATCTTTCTGTATGAATGATGAGATCTTTAGCCTACAAGAACAAACATGTATTTTCTCCAGTGTAAAAAGTTCAGTATACAAATAGAGGCTTTTCATATGCCACTAATGATGTGCGCACAAACCTAATGAGTACCTAGAACATCCTGTAGAATCAATAAATCTTTATCCAGGGGAGGCGCGTGTTGCTAAAAACGTACGCTTAAATGCTCAAACAGATGCTAGGGACTGCAGAGTTGAAGACCTCACATGAAGTACAATAAAACTTAGTAACTCGAGTTTTGGTTTTCCCCCAAAAGACTTAATCACTTCGAAATTTGAGGGTTCAGTTACACAGATGCTTTTTCAGCAGCAATGCTGATTTAGCCTGTACCCTCGCCTTATTCAGTCCTTCGGTGATGCCAGCACAGCCATTTGTCAGACCTGCAATGAACAAAGTCAAAGAGCTGATGCAGGCTAAATTACAGGGTTATTAAGGGGATAGGTGACTTGATCCTCTGTACGTCTCCCTTAACTCAAGGATTATAGCTCAGAAACAGCTAAGTCACTTAGGCATCTCTAAGTTTTTATTCATTATCCCAAAAATCTTTCAAACCTAGAAGGGATTAAACAATTTAAATAAATTACCTCTATTCTTAACTATATTTCCTTCCTTCCTGGCTGCTAAATTAGTTTTGTTTATCCTCCTTCTCTTCTGCAAGCTTTAGCTTTGCTTTTTATCATGTAAACCAATGACTGCACATAAAGGAGACTTAAACTTGTGCATTGCTTGGAAGTGGCAAAAACTCCAAGACACATGTAGCAATGCTTATTTTCCACCACAACTAATGAATTCTGCAAACTTTTAGGTAAAACTCTCATTGCTACTGTAAACTCTTCCCCCTCCCCATTTTAATATGGGGCATCATCTACAACCTCCTGACCTCAGCAGCTTGCTTCAGAATTTAATGGAAAAAGAGGTAAGAAAAATCCTAAAGATAAAATGTGAGAGCTAGAAACTGATACATTAAAAATCCAGTATACCATATGGCTGATAAACTAAACCAGCTTCAACAGGGAAGAGGGTTTATGTTTGTCTGTTTTAAATCAGGTTACACAACAGATAAAACAAACAAATCAATTCACTTTAAGTGAAAAAAAAATCACACGCTTCTCCATTTTAATGTTCTCAGGCTTCATCAAAAAAAGGAAAGAAAAAAAAGAAAAATGCCAGAAGAAAAAAAAAGCCCAGCATCATGTCACACCTCTCCCTTGGACGAGGCTCAAGAGCCTCTCCTGGCCACCCTCCTCAGCTCCTCCTCCATCCATAGGGAAGTGCAGATATCCTGACGAGTGACTAGACCTGTCTGGCCAGAGGATAAGAGGCTCTTGGGAAAGAGGGTAGGAGAGGCGGCACTAAAATGAAGTGCTGTAGTGGTCCCTGTTCTGCCTACAGATACCAACTCATAATCACAAGACTAATTAATACAGCATTTCCCCCCCGATGTTCTCCTGGGAGGCAGGACAGGTGACAAGTTGCAGCAAACCTCAGGAATTTACAACACCCCAACTACACCACTGATCATCAGCACCTTCCTTCACCTCTCCAAGTCTCCCCATCTGCAGAGATGAAACAACAATCCCAACAGCTCTTTGCAAAGTTTGTGAGCTACATGTCAGTTCTTTTACAAGGGTTAAAAATTCACAGTCATCATTGTAGGAAATCTTAATGTGTTTGAAGTAATCTCCCATAAGTAGCATTACATAGACCACAACATAAACATTTACCAACCCTATACAGCCAATTTGCACATTGCCAACATCTCTGCATATTTCAGTACTCAACATTTAAAGGGATTCTAAGTATTTAGTTCTTCATATTTGCTCAATATTTGCTCATCTGTCTCATCTTTTAAGCATTTACTTCATTCATAAACACAGCGACACAGATTTCTCCCCCATTTCCATTCACTGGTACTCACTCCCACATCAGTTCAACTTGAATATTCAGGATCTCATTTTTAAGGAACAGCAAATATTACCCCAGTCATACCTCAAACTTAGAGGAGTAGGCAGTCATCCTCTCCATTCAACATGTATCTACCCGAAGAGCTAGACTGGGATACTTTGCAAATTGTCTCCCTGAAGATGCCAAAATATCTGACTCGTCACCTTTAACTTTTAGCATTTTCCAATTACAGAAACTAAAAAGATGTTGGCCACAGAAGAAAAAACAAGGAAAGACACAATCAAGCACACACATAATACTCTGCATAACTTTTAGCAGAGCTTCCATAAAATTTAACCTTTTATCTATCAATTAATCCACACATAGGTTACAAGGCAAGTATTTCTGCTCATGAATAGGAGAACAAACATAAAAAAAAATCAAGTTAGGAGTCTCTTAACTTAGCTGTTGATTCCCTTTCTTCTGCTGTAAGTTGATCAACTTACTACTAACAGCCTTCAATGGGGTTTCCACTGAACTTTCTGGAGGGATGGCTCAGCAGCATTTGCCATTGATTTAAACCACTATATACAGTGTCCAGTTCATAAGATCCAAACATAAGAAAGCATGTTTGGAAAAGAATCTATTATTAATATTCACCTACTGGCTTGATCTGTGGTCTCGGGGAAAGCTTCAATTCCCTGTATCTTGTGGCTTCAGCTTCATTGGAAAGACAGCTACATGAAAGCACTTAGAAACTCTGAAGAAATTACACCCATAACTCTTTGCAAGCCGTTATGCTAAGATATGATTCAATTCACATATTTATATGCACCCTCATACAAAAGAGAGGAGAGAAAAGTTACAAAATCTATCCTTTCCACCTAGACTACTCAAAGTAGATATTCACTTTCATAAATTTATCTGCACAGTCAAAAAACCACACTTGATGTGTTTAGTCAACACAAGCAAAAATTAGGACAGATGGAAAGGAAAGAGTTGGAGCCAGCACTAGTGTATAATGAATGCCAATTCATGTACAAAAACATTAGGAGTTTTCCTAAAAAGCCAGATGCAGACCTGAATGGTCCAGAAGGCAGTACCAATGCTCAAAACTAGGGCTTACTTAACAGGCATCTTTCAAAGGTGGCAAGGCTACTCTCGTTCTAGCTTCAATCAATCCATGTTTAAATATATTCCCCTGTGACACAGCACAAACGTTTTCAATGCAAAGCTTGCCTTTTAACAACTCTAAGGCAATACATTCTTAAATCCCAAGGTTAAAAGGAAATTTAACTGATACCATTAACAGTTTCACTGTATGGACCAACAAAATGAACCTTAAATTCAGTGCAGATCAACACGACAGAGAAATTATTAGTGTTTAGTAGTTTCACACATTTTTCAGGGACAAGTATTTATAATAATGTGCCCTTGTAATTCAAAATGGAAACAGTGGCCTACCAATTATTCAGGCATATACTCCATTGTAAAAAAAGAAAGTTTAACAACAAAAGAACCCCCCAAGCCATAAAGATTAAAAGGCTGATTCCAGCTTGAACTTGGTTCTGCTCCTTCCCTCCAATCTCAATTCCAGATTCGAGCATATGGCTTGAAATAGGGCATCCCACCGCCATGCTGGATTGGCAACAGGCTCCTTCTGCATCATTCTAGGTGTTCAGGGCAGTCAAAAGGCTGCAGTGAAGGTCAGCCTTCACTGGAACAGCCTCCTTTCTGTGGCCATGCCCTTGATTTGCCCTTCTCACCAGCCATGATTGGCAGCAGGAGAAGAAATGAAGAGCACCAGCTGTTCCTTCTAATACATTTCTGGTTTCTCTGCAACTATCACCTCCTTGAGTATTCAAAGTGAACAAATTTTAAAGGAGATGGGATGGAGAACAGTGGATGGAGGGACTTAATGGCCAAAGAACTGTTGGAACAAAGTCCTGTTCCACCACCTCGATAAATGCTAATAGTTAATATTGTACTGACCTCTAATGAAGCTGTTTTAAGAAAGCCCTATTTTCTGCTAGGTAAGCAACAACAAGAAACTGCATAATGTGATTTAATTGCTTTATAGCAAGAGAGAAATGCTCCCATTACAGCCCCAACATCCTGCCCCACCTGTAGAAGTGAAGTTTCTTCCTGGCATCACCGCTAAGCACCTACTCCGGGGTTTGAACTACATCACAGCTCAGAGAAGTCCTCCTCACCAGCTAACCACAAGCTTCCAAACAGAAACATATGGTCAAGGAAACAACCACTGCCAACAGGAGTTTGGGAAGATCCTTACTTAACACAGCTCTTTCCCATAACTGCAGAAATGCCAGGAGGGGAGGGGGGGGGGGGGAAAGGGGGGGGG